CGGGCGAGTTTTACGAAAACGCCGCCGAGGAGACCGCCGCGCACGCGCAGGACCGCACCACCCTCCACCAGGACGCCTTGACGGTCATCGAGAGCTACGACGCGTTGGTTTCCGCGCTTTTCGACAAAGTCGCGGGGAAGTTCGACGGGCTCGTGGAGGAAAACCTCGCGAAGCGCCGCGCGTCGGCCCCCGCCGGCTCCTCCACAACTAAGGAGGTCCACAAGGAAGTCCACAAGGACCCGAACGAAGCCGCGCGAAAGAAGAAATAAACCAAAGCATAAAAAAAAAGAAGAAGAAGGAAGCCTCAAGCATCGACGAAATGGGGCCTTTGGGGGGTTGTTTTGGAGGGGGGTTGGGGAATCACGCAAGGCCGCGAGGGCGCGGGAGGATAACTGGGACTGAGATAACGTGCGTTCAGGTATTGGAGAAAAAGCGAGAGAGATTTAGGGGGGAGGGGAGGGTGAGATCGGATACGAGGGCGAGAACCCCGAAGCTCACAAATCAGAAGAAAAGGAGCGAACGAAAAAAATGCGGAAATAATGTATATTAGCATTTTGCTCTCCTTAAAAAAAAACAAAAAATAAATAGATGGGCTTTTTTTTCTTACCTGACTTGTGTTTATGGAGGGGAGGAGGATGTTATTTTCCGTGTGCCTTTTCCATATCTTTTCACTCATGTGAAAATGAGTTTTGGCATTTGCATGGCGTCTTTCTATTATTGCGTGTGTTGGTTGAGTGGGAGGCTAAGGGTTAAAGGGCCATTAAGCCATAAGGACGTCTTGGGTGAATATCTAAAGCATTTCAGATAAAGAAAAATCTGGTGAATAATTGTTATTGGGTAAATTTCGAAATCCAAATTATCCAATGAAGGGGTAGAAAAAAAAAAGAGGTAGACATGAAATAAAAGGATGCTAGATCCAGGGCTGTAATTCTATACCTTTTTTTGCGTTTGTTAACAGATTTTCTCCATGCTGTCTTGCCTTCTAAGGTAGAGCTTTGACGTTTTTTAGTATTAATAAAAAAAAAAAATTGCGAATCCTCAACATTAATTGAGATGCCTTTTTTAATTATCGCCTTCCTATATTTTACGTGTGCAGAGACCTCAATTTATCTATATTTACTCTGTCTGACTTCCTTTAGCTTGGAATTATTGTATAAAAATTCCTTACTGCTTTTTTTTTTTCCACCCTTTTCAGAGGCTCTTTTTTATTTCCATCTTTGACTTTTCTATCTGCATTTATCTCCCTTTAGCTAAATAGCGGCATAGTTATATCCAAGATTATTTTACTATCACCGCTCGTCGTTCGTATTTCTTGCGTTTCCCTAAAAAAACATAGAACAAGGATTTGGAAGGTACTTTTATAAACTATATGTACACCTAACTAAACACAATTCACGGAAGCGTCTTTTTTTAACCAATCGTTTCTAGTCTTTTTAGTGAGTTTCATTAAGCGCTATCTCCTACAGCCTTTCCTTTCCTCCCTTTTCCATCTTTCCAACACCTTTTCTCGTGTGTGAGGCGCAAACGGTGGAACCCAAGGACATCGAAAGCGGAGTGCGCCACCCAATCCCCTTAACGCGCGCTTTTAGCCATTTACCGCCTTATTGATTACTATTCCAATTGATTATTCGCTAGTTCGCGTGAATCGTCACTGGTTGCCGACCCGTGTTATTTAATTCCTTTTATTCATATTGTAATAGTACAATTATCTCCCCCTCCCCCTCCCCC